TTAAAATCCTATGCATTATACATTTTTCATTTTGCAGGGACATACATTTAGATTGTATTCCTTATGGCTGTTGTTTATGAGCAAATCAATGTTTGAGGACACTCCAACTACCCACTACCTAGATCTAACCCTGGTCTTTGCCCCCCATTGCATTCATGGTAACTCCTATAGATAGCTGAAGAGAACTTCCAATATTTTAATTGAATGTGTTTATGGGAGGTAGTATAGCATCACTGTTAAAAGCAAACTCTGTAGCCAGATTGCCTGAGTTCACATTTCATTTCCAATAATTACTTGCTCCTTAATTTGTTCAAGGTATATTTAATGTCCTGGGTTAGTCTCACAGACTAGTGGTTAAAAGAGCTGGATACCACTTGACTGATCAAGGTTTGAATAACATGCCAGGTGCACATGTGTACATCCCAGATCCCAGGATGGAGAACTGTATGAGAAGGGATCACTCTATGACTATGCCCTTTTTAGGGGAGTACTTCCATCATATGTCTGTCTGTCAATCGATTTCTGGTGAGTGCACATTTCCTCTGGCAATTGAAAAAAAAAGAGATATATTTAATGTCTCTGTTCCACAGTTTTCAACTCTACAAATAAGGATGACAATTATAAACTCAGAATTATTATACTGATAAAAATTAGTATGTGTATGATGTGTATGGAATGGTACCTAGCACATAGACAATGTTAAATGTGTTAGCTTTTATTATGTAAATATATATATATAATATACACATACACTCTTATTGTTTTCATCTAATAAGTGCACTACAATGTCATGGGACTTATTCTATATAAATATCAAATGAAAAAAGATTAAGGGGAAGGTTTTTGGTAATGATAAGGGGAGTAATACTATGTCATCAAAGATTTAGGGGCTATAAACTGCAGATGATGTAATTAAGCTTTCAGTTCTCGTTTCATTTCATAGATATTCTTCATTCCTAAAACAACAACATGAGTTTGTACATCCATTTGATATTTTTGTTTATAATGTGAAACCCTAGTAAATTCAGCTATTACTGATAACGTCCCACCTTTTTTTAATTTCTTATTCTAATCAAAAGAGAAACAGGGGAGAGGTCTGAATGCCGAAATGGGATGAGCTCAGAAAGAGGAATGAGTCAAAAATAGGGCAGTACAGATATGGCTGGCAGGTTTATGTTAAACCAATGAGTTAAGTTTCAAAGTGATCTCTCAGAAATTCAGCTAAATATGATTTTCGTGTCATTACCATCACTGGGTGATTGTAGCCTTTCCCATTACACTTTCTCACCTATAATTGTAATTATTATTATTTTTTAAATGGACAGGTAAAGTTTTATGTATTTGTCATATATAATGTGGTGTTTTGGAATACACACACACTTAGTGGAATGTCCAAGTTAACATGCACTACCCCACATAGTTGATATTTGACAGGCCCTTTACTTCAGAGCTCCATTTGCCCTCCTTTCTGGGAGATAGACTATTACAGCCCCTTTTAAATAAAGATTTCTAGCTTCTGGTTTCTTTAAAATGTTTCCAATCTCTATCCCTTCCTTCTCTGAGAATCTTTCTCCAGAGGATCCAACTCAATGATTTAATATACAATTTTCTGACAGGAGATCCTAGAACCCATTATGAAAATGAAGGCAGAAAACAACCTTTGAATGTATTTCCCAATTTAAGAAACCTTCATTACGTAGCACATCTCAGGCTGAGAATGTAGAAAAAAAAAATTAGAGTCTCAGTAATTGTAGCTTCTTCTGGAAGCTTGGCATGATATGGAATCATTTATAAAATGTGTATTCTGTTTGGCACTCAGTAGGAAGCTTGCCAGGCAATACATTTAATTACGAACATGGGGAAGAGAGTAATTGTGATCTGTCACAGTGTATTAACATTACTTTTAAGTTTTACATGTGTTTAAGGTAGTGATTTCTTAAAAACGTATGTATTTAAAACTAGGAACAATTTCTCTTTCATCAGCCCAGAGTTTTTATACAGGGAAATATATTATTTCAAGGGGAAGAATGCCTTAGCTGTATTTCTTAGATATAATTCTTTGTCTATTGTTTAAGTGATGGGAACCTTAGCTGTTCTCCTTAGAAACAACCTTTGTCCATTGTTTAAGACCTTGAAAATTGATGCATTGCCTTTTGGGAGCTTAGACAGCTTTATTTAAGTTTAGCTTTCTCTGGAGATGCATAGAAATAATGAAATGCAATGTCTTCCTTGAACATAACCATGTATATTATGTCTATTCCTGCCTGATATGTAGCGTAAATTTGATAAAAGCAACTCAAGTAGTGTAATGATTAATGTTGACTTTTTAAAAAATTACAAGGCAACTCAGGTCAGCAGATTCAGGGAAGTGTGATGAGAACCATCTCTGAGGCCAGGATTTGATTGTGTTCAACATGCGGTTCCATTTTACAGAAAAGCTCGCTTATGATCTTTTTGAGAGGCACCATGGGAAAAGGGCAATGCAAGGGTCTTTCTGGCATACAGGTTATAAATATTTTGGTGTCCAGGTTTTCAAATCATTTAGTATCACATGGATTCCCTCTTTGATCTTCACATATTGCTATTCTTAGTGGACAAAGATTTTCCTCATGTTATACAGATTTTCCTCTAAATCTTAACCAATTTGACATCACAGTGCCTACCCTCAAGGTCAATCCAAAGCATATATAAGACATGAACAAAGATTGTTTCACTCCCCTTTCTTCTAACTCCACTGTGTCGAGGCCTGACTGGTTTGTCTCTCCCAACATCCTTATTATTTCTCTTCTCCCTGAAGCATCAAAATAATTGCTTTAGTGAAACTTTCCTTCAGGGTACCATTTTTAGCTAGGGACAAGAACAGGAATAAAGTAGTTAAAACTCTGGCCGTCACTGTGGTGACACTTAGTGGAGAGTTAGGATATCAGGAGAGGAGTGATTTTAAATGGATGAAACAGCTTCATTCATTTAGGTAGCTATTTTGGGGGGAAAGAAGAGTTTAAATTAAAAAAAAAAAAACTCATCTTATCCAGTCCAATTGCATACATCTCACATTTTTAAAGGGCGGAACTTCTGGGAAAAAAGAAGTCTAGATATGGAAATCTTTGACTACCATTTCATAGTAGTGTGCCAAAGCCAGTACCACTTTTTTCTGTAGAAATACTGCTCTTGTATTAAGTGGCCAATCATGCAAGAAACAAGTGGAGAGTAGCTTCAAAAATATAAAAGTGTACTTCTTTCTTTTCTCTTGCAAAATCCTGAAATCAGTCCAACTTTTATTCTATGACATTAGGGGCAATTAATGTGTCAAAATAACAAAACAACTTTGTCATATTTTTTAAAAATTATTTATTTTAAAAAATTTGCCAGACAGTGTATGTGCTGTCTGAAGAGAGAGAGAAAGAGAGAAAGCAACCACCATGAGGAATGGCCAGCCACACTCCCTTCTCCTGCGTTTCTTCTTCCTTTCAGGATTTTGAGCACACATATGCACATGCCCAGCATGTTTCTCGAGCTGCTGAGACCAGGACTCAAACCATGGTTGGCCATGGAGGATCTAGCTGCCTAACCACCAGCCCAGTTGTAAACTGACCCCAAAAATTACATTTTTGAATTGTTTGTTTAAAGCAATATTTGGAGCACTTGGAGAAATTAAAGTATAAAATTCTTACACTACTTCCGTACCCAATGCTAATGTTATCACTGAGGAAACTGAGTACAGAGTGTTAGTTTATTCAACAAATACTTAACTAGTAATAAATGAACTGTTTTGAGAAACAGTCCAAAGTAGTGTTCTGCTTCATACTCAGTTACTATAGTACACTGATTGTTTTTTTCCTCTTCAAAATAGAAACTGCTTAAGTGCCAGTAAACAGATTTGGGGAGAATAGAGGGGTCAAAAATAAAATGTAAAGGATACGTGAATGGTGTTTTTATGCCTTACTGACTTTCTGGGACTTGCTGTGTTTAGATTCCCAAGCTTTACCTACAGACCAGTCTCTCCCTTTTTCTCATGCCCAAATCATGATGTTAAATAGCAGGAGTGAGGATTGAGAAGACAAGATCAAGGGGCTGTAAGATCAGGTCAGATCACCCAGGCCATCACTCCTTCTAGCTAGAGTGTTCTCCTGGCTAAGCCAAGGTATGTGAATGGAGTACCTACTGTGTAGCAGCTGATGTTAACACACATTTTTTTTTTCAAAATAAGTCTGGATTATTTGAGATGAACAGAGAGCATGGCATTTCAGTATTTCTTATGAATTCTCTTCAGGCCCAAATTCATTTTTGTCTAGAAGAAAAGTTTATGCATTTCAGAGTAATGTCAACAATTTCCTTTGAAGTGATACTAGAATAAATGCATTTGCTTAGGTAAGAAGGCTTCAGATATCGCTTCTTTGAAGCTGGAAAGACCACTACGGGGCCAGCTGGGAGAAGAATTTCTGTTATGCTCTAATGTTAAAATCCTGGATTGCACATTTCTCCAGTCTGGACTTTCTTTGTTTGAATTAGTTGTGGATGGGAGATAATGTACTAAAAGTAAAAAGCAATTAACTGAAAGTCTGTACAAAAAAATTAAAAAGAGAAAGATAAAAATAGTCCTGCTGATCAGAAAGCACTGTTAGATGTATACAATGTTCAAAATATTGTTTCTTCCCAGAATGAGGAACATGCCTTTGCCTTGAGGTATCTCAGTTCACCAAGGGTAACTCTAATATGAGTTTCACTGTAAGAAAAAAAACATCTGAGATTGACTGGAGTTCATCTTCTTTCCAAAGTAGTTGAATTTTAGCTTAATAGACCTCCATTTAAAAAAATCCATTTACTATTGCAGTAATTGGGGCTGTCCAAAACCAAAGTATGTAAAATCAATGACCAGTAGTACGTGGGATGAGAATCTTCTATAAATGAATACATGTTATTAGATAGGTAGCTAGATATAGATAAAAACTTTTCTTTATGAACTACTGTAGCTAACATGTATTTTTTTTTTTAATGTTTAGGGGTAAAGGACCATTAAAACATACAACTGATGTGATCTATGCAGCTAAAATGATATCTGAATCAGGTTCACGGATGGATATCCTTGCTAGGCAGATTGCTAATCAGGTGAGTTATTTACAAATAGAAGTGGTAAAAGTTCATGCCAATTACTGTCTGTCATTCCAACATTAATTGGAGGAAAGATGAATTTTTGCTCTATTTGATCAGCTATTTCTTTAATTATTTTAATTTTATGACACTATCAATGTACAAGTAGGGGACACTTTAATTCTAAGGACTCTTAATACATTGGGGGACAGAGATTTTTTATCTTTGAGTATGTTTATACTCAAATCATTTTAAATATTAGCTTTTTTTTTACTTCAAATATAAGTAAAAATTTGAATTGGCTTATGATAACCAAACTGAGCTTATTTCCTTGATACTCTCTCTTTATATTTTCATTTGCTCTTAAAAAAAAAAATCAATGTTTTAAAATTCTGTTATGGGGCTGGCCCCAGAGCATAGTGGTTAAAGAAGCTAGAACCTACCTGGCTGATTGTGGTTCAAATCCCAGTCCTGGCGGCTTGAAAAATACACTGTGCACATGTGCTTGAATGCCCTAAGTCTCAACAGGATGGGAAGGCAGAGTAGAAGAGATCATAGCATGATGACATCCCACTAGGAGGGACATGAGCGGAGGTGGTTTCTCCCTCTCTGTCTTTCTCTATTGAGCACATATGCCCTCTGAAAATTAAAAAATACTACAAAATTTTATTATGTTAGCTTTTCTGTATCAACAATGTAGTCTACCAATCTTTGTAAAGTTGAAAGGCAAATGAGTAAAATGCTAAAATTAAGCTGTAACATGATATGTATATATATATACACACACACACGCACACACACACACATAAACACTTTTGTTTCGTTTCCTTAGATTTCTCCCATCTCTATTCCAATTTTCTAACCAGCAACTACATTATCAGAATTACCTTATGCCTCACTTTAATTGAAATACCTGTTAGTTCCATTAGTTAATGTATTGAGGCAGTCCATTAATATTTAAGACTGGGGTATAATGTTACTTCACAGCTTTTCTGCTGTATTCAACTTCAAAATACACTTTTATTTCCCTTTGAAACTCTTCTTTTTGACTTTGAAACTATTCCATGTTATATCTTGCTTACATACTTAGAAACTTCATCAGATTGCTTCTTACTGTGCTTACTATGATTCATTCTTTCAATGTTCCGTTTTTAGAATGTTAAGCACTCTCTTCTATAAGATTCTACTTTTGTGGATAAGGACTAATAATAGCAGGGAAAATATTTTAAAACATTCCTTGAGTAACGTATTTTTTAGTATCTTGATACCTTAAGAATTATACAGATTGATTAATCATATTTTTAGTATTATAGCTTAAAACAAACTCTATCTCAATAACAGACAAGATTTCTTAGTCTAAATAAATGACTAAAGTTCAAACATGCCATGGTTTATTTTAGAATTTTGTTATATTCTCTTTTATGTTAGTAAATATAAATGTAATAAGTGATACCATAATACATTAGATAAACTTATAAAACTAATAAATGTTAAATACTGGATGTTTATTACCGTTGTTCTTCTGTTTATTTTGGAACATACTATTTTCAAAGTTCAAAAATTTGTGTCACATTTAAGCTATATATTGACATTCTTTTTTTTTTTTAAGAGAGATTTTTGCTTTAGGGCATATGAACTTGCTGGAGAGACACAGAGACTGAAAGTGAGAAGTCACTCTTTGGGGGATGGCCACACCACAGTTCCCTCTTTTCTGTTCTCCTTTTGGGATTCTGAGCATGCACATGCACTTGGCATGAGTTTCAATCTGCTGGGTCAGGTCTCAAACCACCGTTGGCCAAATGGATGTCTAGCACCTTAACCACCACACCACTTGCTGGCCCTGACATTCTTTTTTAATTGACTCAGATCACCTTGCAGTAGAAACTTTCATATCTAGTTCTATTAAATTATACCTTGTTTGTAAACATTATTAATATTATGTGGGAAAAGTAAGCATATTGTCTCAATTCCATATAGCTTTGACATTTTAAAAGAAACTTAAAGACACAGTCACTGACTGATGAAGAGTCACAGATGACTTGCTTTGGCCTTTTCTGCTTCGTATGGTGGAGTAGTTTCAAATGAACTTCTTTTGTTCTGAACAAACAGAGTTTTAAAAAATTACAACTGAGAATAAAGAAACTGACTCATTATTGTAATGACTACCTGTGGAAATTGTTTATGCATGGGCTTCTAATATTGTTTGATAGCTTAACAGAAAGATTTTAGACAGAAAATAATATCTGTAGTTATGAAATAAAGCTAAGTAACTATCAAATAATATGATTTCAGTGTCTAGGTACATATGATATAAAAAAATCCGCTAACATATTAGTTGCTTTTGATTTTGATTAGTCTGAGTTCCAAAACAATTTAACAATTTTTATGAAGCTTTCTAGTCTGTTTGTTTGATGGAGTATGGGAAGGTTAAACATCAATGTCCAATTCTACCCAGTATAGACTTGAATGTGTGTGTGTGTGTGTGTGTCTGTGTGTGTGTGTGTGATATAATATTACAACAATTTAGCGTTATACGTAAAATTCATATATAGAGAGAATAGAATGAAATCAAATTAGCTGATTCTGCTTTCCTAGATTTTCCTTACTATTCCCCTCACTCTTCCTCTCGGTCATGTTCTCTTGACCATGGATTTATTGTGTATATACCATGTAAAGTTCACTATTCTTTCACTGCCATGGGCTACATAGGAAGAGATGAACTAAAACCATTTGCTCATACATCCAGAACCCTCATGGCAGCTCGCTTGTCTCAGTCAAACATTTCTTGGATTCCAGAATTGTCTCAAGATAGTATGGTACCTTCAGTGTTCCCCTTCAAGATTATGTTTCTTTAAGTAAGCCCAATAGTAGTCTGGTACACATTTTGACTCTGTTAGACAGTATCTTCCTAAAAGACAGGATATTGTTAGCTATCACAATTCTTAAATAGCTTGCTTATGAATAAATAGAATGTCATGTTAGAGAAGTAGAATACAAATCCAAGAAGCTAGACACCTGGTACACATTTCTTTCTGTTCCTTCACTTTACACTGTAATTTATCCTATTAGCAGATATTCTAAACTAGGTAAATGAATACCTCATAAATTAGGAATAATACACAGAAAGATATTTTTAATTAGTTACAGAATCAATATAGCTCAAATAGGGAGAAGATTAATAGGAGGCAAAATAAAATTAACATCTGCCAAAGTGTTTCACACAAACAGAGAAAAATGTAAGCTTTATGACCTCTGGGTCATATGTCTATAAACTGATTACTCCTTCACTATAATTTTGGCAAAGCTAAGATATGAACTGGGTACTCCCACCTAATCATAATGAACATAATTAGAATGGATTTACAGTGTTATTGTATTGATAGCTAATACTAATTCAAGAAAATATGACATTTAAAAAACAAAGAATTACAAGCCAAATCAGATACAGTGCACACAATTCTGAATAAAACAACCAACAAGTGTAAATTATATTGCTATTTTAACAAAATATTATTGGTGGCTAGACTCAACTTACAGCATTGTTACACATTACTGTTGTAAGTCAAAAATGTTTATTGAAAAATGTTATGCTGAAAAAAATTTCTAAAGCATTCATTATATCTTTGTTTTTTTTTTTTTTTTTAATTCACCAGTAAGCATGTGAGCTCACTATAGAGAGGCAGAGAGAGAGAGAGAGAGAGAGAGAGAGAGAAAGAGAATCCTTTAATGGGGCATAGTCACATTGCAGTCCCTTTTCCACCATTTCTCCCTCCTCAGGATTTTGTGCATGCATATTCATGTACCCAGCATGTTTTTCAAGCTGCTAGGTCTGGGAATTGAACTATTCGGTTAGCCGTAATTGATCCAGTTACCTTAAACACCAGGCCAGGAGCCTGGTCCCATTATATCACTTACTACATATCTTTTTTCTTAAAGTTTATTTATTTTCTTCATTGAGCTAGAGAGAGGCAGATGGATAGAGAGACAGAGATACAGAGCCACCAACAGGGTCATCATGCCTCAATCCATCCACAGTCTTGGTTGGCCTTGATCATGGGCACATGCACGCTGCATTTTCAGGGATGTTCAGGACACAGATCTAAGACCTTCTCATGTAGGTCCAGTTGGAGTTACAAGAGCATTACTGCCTGGCCCCTCATTATTACGTGTTTCTTCAGGATTATAATTCACAGATTCATCTCATGACACTATGTTTATTTTGTGTGCTACGATCTACCAAAGGTTTGCTTTGAGCAGAGATGTTGATGCCTAGATTTGTTCACTAAATTGATGATTTCCCACATCATAAATGTAAATGTATAACAGGTCCTCAAGAATTAAGTAGGACCAAATAGATACTGAAATATCAATTTGTTCACATCCTTGAAACAACAGTCAATTATCTGTTTAAAATGATGCTATGTTACAATTTTGCTTTAACAGATCTTAGTCATTTTTTCACTCACTGTCTTAAATGCTTTGAGGCGGATTATATGTTCAGGTTTATTTAATGTATATAAAATACAACCTTAGGAACCAAAGAATAAAGCCTCCTAGAGTCTAGGAGAAAGGAGCTCTTTGTTGTGTAAAGGATGAGGAAAGTTTCTCCTCATAGCTGGCTGTCTTACCAAAAATTCTGAATAACCAGAATTTGCCTGAATGACTTTTCTATCATAGTTTCTACACTCTTATTCTGTGTACTTGCTGAAAAATTTTCTAACAACCCATGTAATTTTTGTGCTGACAAATTTCAGGCATCAGGTAGAGGGTAGTATTTTTGAATTGTGGTCTTTTACATAGGAGACTCATAACTTCTGAGCATTTTTCACTGAAGTAGGTCAGATCAGAACTTTTCAACTAAAGGAGAGGAGCTTTGGTGAAAATAGAGAACACCTTTATCTTTAATATTTACTTAGCCTTACAAGTATCTCTCACTCTCTGAGTGACTGAGTGTCCAAATCAAGTTGTAAGTAAAATGAATCTGAGGCAATTCTCAAACTCGAGACAATTTCAGTCTG